TGTAATGTATACTGTTTATATCATGTGCAGTCGGTCCCTGCGTGTAATGTATACTGTTTATATCATGTGCAGTCGGCCTTTGCGTGTAATGTATACTGTTTATATCATGTGCAGTCGGTCCCTGCTTGTAACGTATACTGTTTATATCATGTGCAGTCGGTCCCTGCCTGTAATGTATACTGTTTATATCATGTGCAGTCGGTCCTTGCCTCTAATATATACTGTTTATATCATGTGGAGTCAAATTAAAAATTCGCGGAACAGACATTGCCTGGCCACCTAAGGTTCCGACGTGCCTAAATACATCACTTTCGAATTGATGTTCTAGTGACAAGCTTATTCTTGTATACACCACAGACGTTTTATACCTAAAGTTCCACATCTCTCCAACCTTTTACTTCCCCTGATCAGAGTTTACTTTTTGCTTTTCTGCTTGTTTTACCCCAGCTGGACATCACACAAGCAATAAACACCCAGTGACACAAAGTGCCACCAGGCGGATGAGGATCACCTGTGGAGAGGTCACAGAAACCCCTTTCAGCCGATTAAGCCATAATTGTGACCCAGCTGTATCCAGAGCTCCCAGCAAAAGCCAGGGTGGGGCTTTAAATAACGAAAAATTGCGTCCCGCAAGATTTGGATAAAACTACCAATTTACTTTTTCGCTTGCTCGCTCATCTATAAAAGCTATACCTGTTTGTAACGCTGACTTTATGCTTGTCTTCCCATGTTCTATCGTTTCTCTTCCTATCGCGTACAATCCTTATTGGACCACGTCTATGTTTGTGACCTTTGGCTAAGATATCAATTACTAGCTGTCGAACAAGTGATTAGAAAGGATTATCATTACAGCACTCCGGACAGATCCATAGGTGCTCCGATCTTCTTCTCAGAAGCTCCACAAGTGTAAAACGACTGATGACGCCTGTTCTGTGTTGGTAAATGAAAGGTCTTGTCCCCTTAGTAAAAATGTTCATTTCTTGCAGCTCCAGGCTGCATCCCCATGCCCATCAGTCTCGACAGGGATATGGAGTCATGTCCTTTGGCGTGCTCCTCTGTACAGTAAGTTCAGCGTATGGCATTGGTAACATCACTTCTGTCCAGTACTGGACCAGCCATAGCAACTGCAGTGTCAGCAAGATAGTCTGAACGCTCCTTCCCTTAGAAACCCGCATCACCTGGCCCAGAGATGAAGGCTAGGGCAGATATTCGTGAAGTGCTTAGTGATGCAATCCATTCTTACCTGATAACTCTAAATTGGATTTTTTTTTTAAGCATTTTCATTGAGTCACTAAGATTGCATAGGTGTGTGAACTTTTGAGTTCCAAGTCATGCTAATGCCCTTGTTACAGCCATAGTTTCCATTGTAGGGCTACCAGTTGTAACAGCAAAAGCGCCATTCATCTCCTTGATCCCCCCTCCCCCACCGCCTTAAGCTTACTGTGAATGCCCACGCACTTCGCTTGCCCCGAATTACTGACCCATCTGTGTAAACTATAGCATCACCTTCATCTGTGTTTTTTGTCAATCAGTGTTCTGGCTAAAGTGTCAACAATGCCAGGAGTCTGCTCTCTACAGCTTCCATCAAGTGTGATGTGGACTGTCGGGACAAGTTACTGTAGGGACACCGACACACGCTCACATTTTACAAAGCTCAGTCTTCTTATAATTTTCTCGCTTGTGGCTATTAAGTCTTAAGTGTCCATTTATTATTGTTGTTTTTTTTTATTACTTATAATTATTATTGTCGGCTCTGTGGCTTAGTCGCTTTGAACGCTTCGTAATGCCGGGTTCGATCAGAGCTGCGGGTAATGCGCCTTGCGTTGGTTTCGACAGTGGTATCAAGAAAGCTGACCGTCCAGAAACCATTGGCAAACTAATGGACGTAAATTTGCCTAGAAAAACCACACAACAGCCAGGGGCTGATTTTTACATTCCTTTTTTAGTGTCCATCTTTCACAGTTCCTAGTTGTCTGGAGTGTTTGTAGTGATGTTATATTAAATGCTTTACTGTGTCATTTTGACTAGCATAGCAGTACTATCTAGTCTGGGAGCTTAATTGTAGTGTGGAAGTCAGGCCAAGTTGCACCCAGGAATGTTTGTGTATTCTGCAGTGCCATAATTCGAGTCGCCTCACCCCTGAAGTAGGTTGGGTGTTCTTTGAAGCTGCGGAATTCCGCCTAGACTATTTCGAGCCAACATCTCAACATTTAAAAACTACTCTAGAGTGGCATTTGGTTTATTAAGGGAAACCCTAACAAAAGCACGTGACTCTAGCAGTATGTGACAATCACAGCATTCAAGACCGGCTCACATTAGCTCCATCTCCCTCAACAGACAGCGAAGAGTTTTCATACTGATGGTACACGCTGTCATCTGGCTGGCTATTCGTCTTGCCTTCCCTCTGAGTTTCGAGTTGCGCCCAGAGACCACAACCACTTCTCTCTGTATCATTCTCTCCAAGTACGGATTTTCAGTATCTTTCATTTCACCTGTTAGCCTGCCCCGAAAATTCTGAGATCACCTCTGCCTTGTGCAGTTGCAGTACATCCCAAAATGGGGCCATTCCAGTCAGCTTATCTGTCTGCTCATTCCCAAACACACCTGAATGGCCCGGGTTAAAAATCCATGTGACTCTCACCAAGTGCGACCTCTGGAATGATGTATTCCATACTAAGAAAACCTGACTCCACCTTCCTGAGCATCCGTTGCCAATACGGTATTATGACTTTATGTGTGGAGGATATTTTTTCTACCCATCGGAACGACGCAGTTACCGCCTAAACCTCCATTTTCATGCTAGATGTGGTGATGTCATATGCCAAGCTCTCTTCGGTTGCTTAGACGCCATGGCTGAGCAGCTAGACGCTCGCCGCGGATCGGAACGTCGTAGGTTCGCTCCCTGGCGGAGCCTGCTTTTTTTTTTTTTTTTTTAATGACCCTAGCGCCCAAGTCGACCCAGCCTCTAGTGGGTACCAGGTGCAGTCCCGGGAAGTAAAGGCGGCTGGTGTGATGCTGACCACATAACCCATCTTGTGCCGATTGGTCTATAAAATAAAGGTCTAGCCATATGGTCTATAAAATATAGGTCTAGCTATATATGCCCTATGCGCCTAAAGGCGTGAAAAAGGGTTCTTTAATATTTACTTTACCTCGGTTGCTTTTGCAACGAAGCCCAATCCACTTTTTCTGCCCCTGCCAACTGATCCATTATTGTATACAGTCACATCTAGCCAACAGTTGTCCTCTGTCAGCTATTGAACCTCTGCATCTGCACGGTCCCCGTCCATTCCCTGCACTCTCGTCCCAAGGTAATTGCTACTGTGTGCAACTCTTCACTGCCCTCTGACGCCTTTACCCATTCTTCTCCTCGGCTAATTTCTAAAAAGCTGAGACCCTGTTGATTGTCTTTTCGACCTGGGTCATTTAGAATCTGCCCTCTTTAGTCTATCGCTAATCACATTTCCAGTTCCCTATGCAGGATATAGTACGTATCGTCTGTCACTATAATATAGTACCCAGCCAGCAGAATACGATATCCATAGCCAAGATAGGTCTCATTACAACAACTGGTGAGTCCCTTGTGCATTCCAGAACGGTTCGCATAGCCTCATTTTGTATGCGTTCCAGTTTCTCTAGCGGAGTCTTTGGCACATTTAGCATCCCCACACCATATATTAATGGCTGACCTAACTCGGCTCTAACTGAGTGTGTATAATACCTTGCTCCATATCAGCAGCAGTCATAACCTTTAGTGCATTAATTCCTTTCTTTGCTCTTACGATAACTGCATAGATGTGGTCTTTGAAAGAGTCCTCTGTCAAATGTAGCGAATAAATATTTTAGTGCGTTTCCTCCTCTGGCCACTTTTCCACTTACTGTGATCTTGACTGTCATATCAATCTTACAGAAAGCAAACAGCTAGAGCGCCACGCTTTGTTATCGGGAAAAACACCACCCTTAGCATTTAATCTGCAAGCAAGCATTTCAAAAAGACAAAGGAAGCAAGAAGTCATGGGGAAAAGCACATGTTTAAACAAAAAATCTGGAAAGGGGGAATGTAGGTGATGATGTCAGTAGAGCGGACTCTCGGAAACACTACTACAGTGCTCAGTAGAGGGGAAGATAAGAGACAGACCAAAAAAGAGCTGGATACAGAACGTGACTGGCTGGACAGGCCTTAAATATGCAACCATTATGTCCATCGCATCTGACCATTAAAGATCGGTCAGTCCGCAGCAACAGGTGACCCAACGACACTCAGTGCTATGGATAATGATGATGATAATGATGATGATGATGATGTCATTAGAGCATAACTCTAGTGTTAATGATTTAGGCCATGTGAATGAATACTCTCTTCGTCTAATATTAATTTATTTGCAGGGCAAATACAAACTGTGTACTCTGAATAACACTATTTGATACAAGTTATGGTACGATCACCGAATCTAACATAGTTCGGACTGGTAATCTTAGTTTCAGCTTCACAGTAAACGGGTCACCCCATAGTTGCTCCGCTCCTGTGCCAACGAAAAACACACAGAATGTTTATCATAGTCCCTTGTGGAAATATTGACAGCCTGTTGTCTAGCATATGCACTTATATGAACATCAGGATCTTGGTCTGTATAAGGTCTGTGAAAGCATTTAGTCTGGCCCTCTCAAGGGAATTGCAGGTGGGAGGAAAAACATCACCATCATCAAAACCAGTAGGCATCACACACACACACACACACAAAGCAGTTACAGTTATCACATTATATTCAAGATAATTAATTGTTTTGCTAATTGACGCCTCCCATTTTTAAGTAGATCACAGTGTATGGTTCACAACTTAGATAAATAACAAAATGGCATTTAGCGGGGGGGTGGGGCGAATGAAACAGGTCCCTCGCCCCATGTTTTAGTACTTGTCAAACAGTACCTGCTGTGGAACTTCACGTAATTGCCTTCCCCGATGTTTCAAAGTACCAGCGAAATATCCAGGCTGGTGGAAATTACCGTGAACAACAGCACAGTGAACATCCAGTGAGCATTTGCTTAAAGTGACTGCGAAATTTTCTGGAGCTAAAGAAATACAAGTAGAAATTAATTGCGTGATTAGAATCGCTTAACATATAAACAATCTGGTGGCAAAGGTATTTCACGGACCAGGAGGCCGAGTATTCCTCTACATCCCAGTAGTGATTTGTGAGTAGAAAAAGACATATTGGAAAGTGAAGAAGGCAAAACATAACTGTACTTGTCAACAACATCAGCATAATCTGTCTCTGTACGTCGCAAAAGCGTCTATTGAAGGCAAGGTTGTAAATGCTTGTGAAGGAGTTTCGTAACCGAAACGATGTTCGGATCTCTTGGGCAATAAGGAAGTTGCACACTGTGAGTATTATAAAAGGCAGGAAAGCGTATAATGACACTACAGTCAACTGAAGGGCTCTGTAGAGCGTTGTATTTTCCTTTGTACACCTTCCTTCGTTATCAAACGTTGATGTCCATAAGACTGGAGCACAGATGACCGCGATGATTGCACCAACTATTGCTACAGCCAAAAACGCTTTCTTATTTGATAAACACGACAAAAAATGTACTTGAAACGGATAACGTACAGCTATCAAACGTTCTACTGCCATCATCACTAAAATCCATGGAGAGAAAGTTACCAGGAAGTTTCCTAGGAATTCTAACAAACGACATCCTGCTGCTCCTATGGGTACCTTGTTCAACAACAGCTGGTAATACAGTATCTTGATGAAAATGGCCAAGTTGTCCGATATAGCGAGGATAGCAACATACAAGACGAAGGAGACCTTCAGGTGTCGCATGCAGCAGATGGTTAACACAGTTGCCAGATTTCCTGTGGAAGATAAGTTGAAAATAACGTATTCTCGTAAATCATTTAAAGTAACTCATTTTCAATTCTTATGTTAATTACATTTCAACATATGCCGGTGACAGTCGCAGAGCCACTAAAGACAGGGAGAAAAAGTTAAATGCATTTGGAAAAAAAATGTCTTAGGAAACTAATGAAGGATAAATAATGTGAATTCCAGAAAGGCAAAGAAATGATACGAGAAATGTCCCTGACAAATCGTTGCGTCTAATGTTCTAAAGGTTTGAATGAATCAAGAATTGACATCACTGTAATCGGGACATTCCCATTTATGCTCATTCCCCTTCTTCAGTAATCAATTAAGAGGTTTCATATTGATGGTGCCAGTTGTAACCTGGTTAAATATTCGCCTATTTTTTTTCCTACTGCGGGTAGAAAATCGCCCAGATACTCTGTTCCATCCCTGGTGAACATCTCCTGATGTGAATGCTCTGTCTGTTTTGTCAAACCGTTTACTTTATCTCATAAAGCCTTTCCCACGACCTCTTTATCATAAGGTAGATCACCTATAATCTGTCAGCCTGCTCATTGTTACGCCCACCCGAAAATAATGGGCAAAAAAATCCACTACTGTGGTGTCTTGTCTTAAGAACTTAATTCATTCGTGGCTGTGATGCGTATCTTAAAAATTTCGTGCCTCGAAACCCAATTTTCTATCATATCTTACTGGATATAATTATTCCGTTCTCAGATTAAAAAGTTAACACTTCACCGATGTCTTTGCTACTGGTAGTGGATTGCAGTTTTGCAATAGGTCTTTGTAAATAGTATAAGCTTTTAGAAAGATCATATTTTAAAATACACTACCTGCTTTCAGTTAAAATTTTATTAATCCAGACGTGTAGTAAAGTTTCCATTTATTCCAGACCTTTATTTCTTCGAGATGACACTATAGATATTCTTTTAGTTCTGTGATCACATCTAGTTTCTCTTAAAAATATGCTTTCTTGAGAACAGTAGCTATGGTTGCCTTGGACAAGGTATACTGTTTGCACAAATCAGTTTTTCTGACTTCTTTCTCATATTTTCTAGCAATCTCTTCTAAATTTTTTTTTTCTTTGGTTCCTTTGACCCCTTTATGGAAATCTAGCTGACCATCCAGGGGCGACTTCCATATCCATGAGGGTTATACATCAAGACGTTGTACTAACCCTCCTGTAGGTATCTTCTAGATCTAGTGTTAATATCGCAGTTTTATGAGGTTTGAGGTTTTGAACAACGGATCAACATCATAGCACACGGGTAGTAACCCATAAGTGCTCCGTTCTTCCTCTAACTCAAGTCTAAGTCCGAAGAAGCTCAGCACAGTGCACAGGCTCTGTAGCACCGGCGAGGATCCTGAAAAACTTTGGGTAGATTTTTAACTCCAAATTTAGCCCGGCCAGAGCTGTTAGGCTACCTTTTTTCGATTTCCAACTTCCAAGGGATTTTGTTACTCCCCATTCCCCTGGTTCCAGATTATAGTTTTCTTTATATTCTTGTAATCTGCAGCCGGCCACTTTCTCTATAATCTTGCCTCCTGATTTGTGGAATTTTCACCTACAGTCTAAATTGACCAGTGATTGTGCAAATTCATTTATCACTATCTCATAACACAGTCACATCAAGCATGTCAGTACCTTCCCACATAGCATCTTCTTAACCATTGTTGTCCATTTTCCAGACCAGCTACTGTTACTCATTCTGTTTTCTCAGTGATAAGTCTTCGAAAGCTACTTTAGCTAGGATACACTCGGAGGATTGATCATGAAAAAGTTATTAGGCTTTGTAGTGAATGATAGATGGCTAGAAGATATTGGGGTCGGCCTCCACTATGGGGTCACTACACCAAAAAATATTTTTGTATTATTTACAGAGTTAGAGCAGTTATTTTATAATGGTCATTTGTAGGGATACATGGTATTAAATTTGTATACTTTAAGTGCAAAAAAAAAACCATGGTTGTCATGGCAATAGCCGCCATCTTGTGAAAAAAAAACAATATGTGCTTAGAATCCTAAACTTTTAAAAACAAACATACGTATTCAACAATAGATGATAGATTCCTAAACTTTAATTTTATTTAGAGGTACAGGTGTAGTTTTTTTTTTTTTTTTTTTTTTAACTTTAAACATGTTTTTAAATATTTTTCGTAGAATTTTAAAATGCAGGTTTATTGAAAAGGTCAAAGAATATAGCATTATAAGAAAGTAATTAATATTTTAAAAAAAAAACTTTCTAACATTTATTTTAAATAGACCAGTCCCTATAATATTATTTAACGAGTATCCATACTGATTTTCATGTTTCTAGTCTTTATATTAATTAACATTTTAAGATTTCACACACACAACAAACAGAAAAATAGAGATGTGATAAAACTGACTTTTAAACCTTTTTTTTTTATCTCAAAAAAGTGCATGGGTTGGTGTCTTGAGTATTACTTTTCAATGCTAAATTGTTTACAAATGACATAAACTTTGTGTGTAATTTATTCTACGAATGCCGAACTTTACAAAAACAAACACATTAAAAAGGTGATATTTTTGTCATAAATTGGAAAAAATACCTTGTAGTGACTCCTTAAGATGTAGGCAAACCGGAAATGAATGATTCAGGTACTGACGTGGAATCAGTAGAACATGACTAATGGATCGCATTGGGGTTGGGTATAAAGAGGAGAATATGGAGCGGTGACAGGGAACTGAGTGTCTGGATAAAAAATGTAACATTGTGTGAGTCAGGAAAGGTTCTGAAATTTAATGCAGTGTGGAAGATTATTTTTATCGCTAGCTGGTTTTGCTTGGCATATTAATAATTGCCATGAGTTGTACTTCACAGGCCTTTATGCAGTTCTATGGGTCACTGCAGAAGAGAAAGTTGGAAATTTGCCAACTAAGGTATTATTGATTATAATGCATATCTGTGGAAGCTGGGATATCACAATGGTTGGACCTTGTCTACGAGCTTTAACATTTTTCGTCTTTGGAATAGGAAGAATTATTATCAATATCACTAAGCTTGTCCCCTAAGTTAACTTACCCTAAAATTGGTACCCAGACATGTCATGTGAAGTAAAAGCGGCCTTTATGATATTGAGCACATCATAAAGTGAGTGCCGTTTGGTTTTTCAAAATATGAGTTCAACATTATGTGTATCGATGCGCCTCTAAAGCGAAAGGGAACTTTCGTCCTGACCTTGTTTGTAGTTTCTTGCCTCCGTCAGCAGGACCAACACATCAAGGATGAGAATCCTACAAGTAAAATTCCCGGAAAGCCCACTTAAACCATAAGGTTACACATCTCCCCCTACCCCCCCCCCCCCCCACCCCCCTACCTGACCCAGGTGGCGACGAAGAGCCTGAAGCATTTGTTTCTTTTCTGGTCTTACTCTCTCGTTTTCATAAGCATGTTGATTCCTTTTAGATAGTTTTGAATTTTGACAACATATTTTAACAAAGCTAGATAAATTACAGTCTGCTACACACACACACACACACACACACACGCACACACGCACACGAGCACACGCGCACACGCGCACACACGCACACGCCCACACACACACACATACATACATACATACATACATACATACATACATACACACACACACACACACACATACATACATACATACATACATACATACATACATACATACATACATACATACATACATACATACATACATACATACATACATACATACATACATACATACATACATACATACATATACATACATACCATACATACATACATACATACATACATACATACATACATACATACATACATACATACATACATACATACATACATACATACATAACATACATACATACATACATACATACATACATACATACATACATACATACATACATACATACATACATACATACATACATACATACATACATACATACATACATACATACATACATACATACATACATACATACATACATACATACATACATACATACATACATACATACATACATACATACATACATACATACATACATACATACATACATACATACATACATACATACATACATACATACATACATACATACATACATACATACATACATACATACATACATACATACATACATACATACATACATACATACATACATACATACATACATACATACATACATACATACATACATACATACATACATACATACATATACATACATACATACGTACGTACGTACGTACGTACGTACATACATACATACATACATACATACATACATACATACATACATACATACATACATACATACATACATACATACATACATACATACATACATACATACATACATACATACATACATACATACATACATACATACATACATACATACATACATACATACATACATACATACATACATACATACATACATACATACATACATACATACATACATACATACATACATACATACATACATACATACATACATACATACATACATACACATACATACATACATACATACATACATACATACATACATACATACATACATACATACATACATACATACATACATACATACATACATACATACATACATACATACATACATACATACATACATACATACATACATACATACGAAAGAAGTTTGAAGAATATCTGAATTAGCAATGCAGAGATTAAACAGCATGAAGAACCTATGGCAAAGCATGGGCAAAGTAAAAATCTTGAGATCAGGCATTTTTCCTGTGGCCACTTACGGTTTTGAGTAGTAGATTCTCACTCAATCACTGAAGAAAAAGAATGGAGCTTTCGAAGTGAAATGTTATAGAAAAATTCTTAGAATACCGTGGATCTAGAAAAGAGAAAAACATCGACATTTTACACGAGTTGAACATCAAGGAGAACTGGCTCATAAACAGCATCCTGTTCCGAAAGTTGAAGTTTTAAGGTCACATCAAACGTCATGGTAGCTTGGAAAAGACGGTGATGGAAGGTGCAGTTTGGTGAAAGCGAGGCAAATGTCTACCTCCGTGTAGATGGATACAGGACATTGACGATGGACTGGCATTGAAAGCACATGGGGCTGGAGAGCTGTGTAGGGAAAGGGATACTTTCAGGCGTGACGTGAAGAAAGCGACGTTCTGTAAAGTACTTGCTGATAGATGATGATGAAGATATATAAATATGTGGTGTGTGTATGTATGTGTGTGTGTGTGTGTGTATGCTCTGTGTCACTATTTCTTTCTCACCATGCGTCATGCGCACCTGTATGTGTGCATGCATGTTTGTGATGTGGCTTCGATTTGTAATGGCGTGGTGCCGGATTCAATCCCAGCTGCAGACTTTTCGCAGCAGACCACTTATCATTCGTTTTGACAGTATCGTCAAAAGCCAACAGCCAAAAATATGCTGTGATACGTTCCCCAGCGTCATATAAAGAACATACAACTAACTTTACCTAACAATATATACATATATATATATATATATATATATATATATATATATATATATATATATATATATATATATATATATATATATAAAGGTTTTCCTACGTGTATGTTCAAAGCTGCATTAAGCACTTCGCTAGAAATGTGAAAAAAGAAGACACAAACAGCAGACTGAACAGTATATTGCCTGGCATATGTATCTCGTCAGGTGCATACTACAGCAACAATTACACAGCTAAAGCAAGTAAATTTATCCTTTATACCCGAAGTGCAAGTTCAATAACAATCAAACGCAACTGTCTGTTTTACCAGGGCAGCCGCAATGTCAGAATTATGATTCATGAAATTAGGCAAAATATACCGGGCAATAAATTGTGCAATCTATTGTTTGCATCTTCTTTATTCAAGTTAACAACGGGGAAACATTGCTTTGACTTACCTGGAAACCCAAACGCAAAGATGACCCACAGGTAGTAATTGCTAAAAATGTAGCTGATTCTGTATATGCCCCCTGTACTGAAATTGTCCACCTCGGTGAAGTTATGAGTCTTATTTAAATGCAGTGAATCATTCTGTTCAGTGTACATCGTTGCTATTTGTTTTAGTTCATTTTAAATGAAAATGTCGTACTTATTAGTTTAACACATTTTCAATATTCCTAATAATTTTTTTTATCCACAGTACTATACTCGTAACGACGTCTATTGCTTGTGGATTCCTAACGCATTTTAACATTTTCGACATACCGTGGCTCCACGTCAGCTGAAGGTGGTTTGGCAGGACCGTTTGTGTTGATTTTGAGGTAAGTATTAATTGCCTCACTTTCCAGAAAGCAATAACAAACTACTCAATGTAAAGTTTCTAAGTAAAACCATGCATTATCCAATAAAAACTTGGGTTGGTTTTGTACGTCCTGTAAAGGATATACGGTTGACCTAACTATATTCTGAAGTTGATCAAAGGCAACGTTTTCATTTGTCAAAATATATGTGCTCAACGCTTTAAGTCACAAATTGTTTTTACCGATTCAGTAACATGCGAAAAGTAGTATTGCCATTGTGAGCTTTAAAAAAAATAATTGCCCTTTTCAGTCCAACTCGATTTCCTAACAAATACGCATGGTTGACAATAGTCATAATAAAAACAGTGTCGTGTGTAACGTTCACAGAAGCAACATATTCTGCAATGCTTATTGAAATATCCAGCAAAATGTCTTCGATTTGCTGGGGCTATATTCAAATAGTATAACAATGTGCTTGTTGAAATATCCAGCAAAATGTCTTCGATTTGCTGGGTCAGATTAAAAAAATATAACAGTTTGCTGGTTGAAATATTCAGCAAAATGTCTTCGATATGCTGGGGCCAGATTCAGATAATGAAACAATACGCTAAACTTGTTTGACAGACACTAGTGAGTGCTGGCTGTAAATGAAGCCTCTCTTGTGGTATAAAGAGTTCAACGCATAATATGTTCTACTCAATAAAATAATTATTTAGCAATTTATCCATGAATTGCTTGCAACATTTTTTTAACACTGGGCAATTCTTTTAGACAAATAAATGAAAATTGTCAAGTCTTTTTATCTTTAAGATGCACATTAATCATAACAGTATTATGTTGTTTCCCCGCTTCCACGGCTACTATAAACAAACTATTAACCAAGTTGTTTCTACTTGTCACCATAAAATATGCTCGTTTAGCCCTCTAAGACATACGAATCCTTGTTTCATGTCACATTTCCTTGTCTGCACTGGCATTCTCTGCGAGAGGATGGCCGTCCATTTGGATCTTACACAATCACAAAAGCCCACTCTCACATCCCAAACCGTCGTTTGCTTGCAGGCGTCATTAACAGAATCAATACTTGTATCTTGACGCGACAGACAAGTTAGAATGACAAAGGAGTGAACTCTTTTGAGTTATTAAAACTGACTTTAGAATGATTAAAGCCGATTTATGTAAAAAGAGTAAAGTTGATCTTTGTAATATGATTAAAAATGGCATCTTTGGAATGATTACACTTGACCTCTTAATGATTAAATATGACTTATTTAAGACTATTAAAGTTCACTTATTTAGAAGATTACCGTTGATCTTGTACTCCTTTGCGGATCCCAGAGACCCAGGTAGGAGAGGAGAGTGTGGATTCACTGCCCCTCAACAAGTTCAGCATATGTTGTAAAAGGCGATTTACTAAGGGTTTGTTGAAATCAGGTGTGACATGAATCTCTATAGAAGGTCATAGTTTTTACAGACTTGCAGGTGATTAGAGATGCGGATGAACTGACTAAGTGTTAGTAAGATTTAGTTTTCGAATAAACACGGGGAAGAAACTGGTTTGACAGCGTCACAATTGATTTGACTTGCATTACATACAACTTGTTAGAAGGTCATAGTCTGACACAGGCCTGCAGAGGATTAAGACCTGCAGAGAATTAGAGATGTAGTAGGAATGGTGAAAAAAGTTAGTAAGGATTGGTTTTCAATGACTAGCTAAGGTAGAAAGTACGGAAGAAGAGGGTTTCAATAGGACATGGTCGATCTGACTTGTAGATAAGAAGAGTTCTTGAAATTTAGCGAGCTAGAGAACGGTTCCTTCATTCCTTCCCCTTTTTTTTTCTCTCTCTTCCAGTCTGCTTCATGGAAACTTGACATCTTACACAATCCAATCTCAGTCTGAATGGCAAACAGATATCCTCTTCAATCTTCAAATAAGTTACAATTGGGGTACCTATAACGGCTTCCCCACCTGGAAGTGCATACCTTTGCAGTTGTGCGCTAGGATGGAGCTAATATCTTATATAACCTAGAGATTTGCGGTATAATCTTGATGTATAGGTTCGGCGGTTTCATTCTATACATAGTATTGTTTAAAGGGACAGTACGACTTTATTGCACAGGATGTCCTAAAGACTGTAGTTTTTAGTCTCTCTCTCTCTCTCTCTCTCTCTCTCTCTCTCTCTCTCTCTCTTTCTCTCTCTTTTTTTTCTCTCTCTTTCTCTCTCTCTCTCTCTCTCTCTCTCTCTCTCTCTCTCTCTCTCTCTCTCTCTCTCTCTTTCTCTGAGTGTTGTGTGAATGTAAAAGTGTGAGTATTGTGTCCATGTGAGTGTTGCCTGTGTGTGTATGCTATGTGTGTGTGCGCGCGTGCGCTGTGTCTGTGGATATGTTGTGTTTGTGAATATGAGTACTCCTGTATATTTTGCCTCTATGTATTGTTGTATCTTCGTGTGTACTGTGTCTGTGTGAGTTTGGTGTCTGGGTGATGCGTATGTGTATGTTGTGTCTGTGTTAGTGTGTGTTGTGTCTGTCTGAGTGCTGTGTCTCTGAGTACTGCATCTGTGTGAACAGTGTGTATGCATAAGTATTGTGTCTGTGCGTAATGTGTCGGTGTGAATGGTGCGTATGCGAGCGTGAGGTGTATATGTGCGTCTGTGAGTGTTGTATATGTGAGTGTTGTGTGTGTAGAGGAAGGGGTAGCTGTAGCTGTGTCTGTGTGTGATTGTGGTGTATGTGTGTGCTGTGTCTGCGTGTGAGTATTGTTCTGTCTGTGTATTGTTGTTTCCGTGTGAGTATTGTGTCTGTGTGTGTTGTGACTATGAGTCTGTATTTACCTGTAAATATGTAGTTTTTATGTATGCATGTTTTGTGTTTGAGATTGTGTATGAGTGTGAGCGTCCTTTCTGTGAGTGTATGTTTATCTAGTCTGTGTGTGTGGTTTTGTGTGTGTTTTGTCTGTGAGTGTGTGTGTGTGTCTGTATGTTGCTTTTGTGAGTGTTGTGTTTGTGAATGGTTTGCGTGTGTAAGTGTTATTTGAATGTAAATGTATTGTGTATATTTGTGATGTCTGTGATTGCTGTGCTTGTGCTGAGTCTGTGTGTATGTAAAGTGTATGTGTCTATTGGTTGTGTCTGTGTGTATTTGTTGTGTCTGTGAGCGTACGTTTGCCTGTGTATGTTGTGTCTGTGTGTATTTGTTGTGTCTGTGAGCGTACGTTTGCCTGTGTATGTTGTGTCAGTGTGTGTTGTGTGTAAGTTGTGTCTGTGTGTACTTGTTGAACTGTGTGTGTGTGCGTTGTCTGTGTATATGTGTTGTGTCTGTGTTCTGTCAATGATTGTATGTCTGCGATATGCATTCGTAGTGTTTTTTTTACCATTGATAAATGAATGTTAATACATGAACATACTGTGCTTGATATATAAAATACAGTTAGGGTGTGAAATATGATTGCTTGGAAGGGTTAGATGTAAGACGGGCCTGCAGGAGAATTTAAATCCTTCGGAAGTAAAATTTGTTCATAGTTCTCTCTCACTCTCTCGCTCTCTCTCTTTCTCTCTCTCTCTCTCTCTCTCTCTCTCTCTCTCTCTCTCTCTCTCTCTCTCTCTCTCTCTCTCTCTCTCTCTCTCTACAGAGGGATACTTCCCCGCCGATATCGTTACATGCACACATACGTCTATGAATATTCCTCAAGCTGCTTAAGCCCCTGGCATCCAGCGCCCTTGCGCTGTTGAACCTCCAACAAAGTTCGAGCTGGAACACATGTAACTTCTTCCCTGAGACGTACAACAAGGATATACCCGGAAATTCCCCTGCAGGTCTGGATGATTGTTGAACAACCCCACATCTAGAAGCTAGAAGGCCTCAGTTACTGCAACCATGTCGTATTCAGTATTCAGTTACATTGATTTGTTCTTTATTTTATGTGTGAGCGAGGAAATGTGTTTTCATTAACGTTCAGTTGTCAAGAAGCGACCGTGTACTTTCCCTGAGTGCGCTATGTCGTGACTGAAGTGATCAGAGATAGTTAACAGTCAGAGTGAAATACGACTTTTTTACAGTTTAAAAAAAAAGCATTAACTTGTCGATATTGGGAAATTGGACTTCCTGTAACCGTTACGAACAATTAGAGTTGTGTAGTTATTTCCTTGTAGTTTTGTCAGAATAATTAGAGAATGTCATGAATAAGATAAAATAAGCAATGAACACGTCTTGGAAATAACCAAATTGAGAGAGACTGATTACCCAGACCAAAAGAGAACCACGCACACTCTTTAAGCACGAAATGAGAAGATTGAAACTGAAGTATATTGTGATATCATGACCGCTGGAGAGAAACAGAAACAGAAGTAGAACAAGATGTATGATATTTTGTAGTTTTGGCACCATGGCTTAGTTGAGAAAACTGATAAGAAAAACTAGAGCCGGAAATGATGTGGTCTGTAGATATGCTGTGAGAAGAAAAGGTGGCTTGGTTACAACTGGAAAGATATATAGGGAAAACGAAGGTGGCAAAGAGATAAGAAACCTAGATGGATTAGGGATACCAATGGAGCAAGAAAAAAGCAATGATCTGAACAGTCACTCTGGTGATCGTATGAGATGTTGGTAGGTACTTTGCTTATCTCTTTGCCATCTTCGTTTTCCCTATTTACCTTTCCAGTTCAACTATCATTCTGGAAAGGGGAGCTATAGGTTATAATTGCGACTAGGTTATGTGCGCCACACAAAATGGCTTGGCATTGTACGCCACCAAGAGCCCTGAAAAAGACTTATAGTGTTGATGCGATCAAAGCAGACAGACCCAAATAC